CCAGTCTGTGACCAGCACTGAGACCAGCTTGTGACCCTGTCTCTTATACACATCTAGATGTGTATAAGAGACAGGTGTTATCACAGTGATAATCCAAGTCACACAAGAAGTGTACCTAGAGACCACTTCAGCACAACAGGACCAGGAATGCAAGACCACAACACTTCGCCAAGATTCACCATCATGGAATAATCTCCTACGCTACCACCAGGCTGGTGCCGAGGCGGTACCAGGATGGTACTACTGCCATTGTACCATCTGGTACACTAGCACCACCGTGGTGGTAGGTGGTACCAAGGTGGTACCGGAATGGTCCTGCCATTGCACTACCTTGTACAGCTTAGCACCATCATGGAAGCATCTTAATACCGTTATGGTGTCACTATGGGACAATGGCAGTACCATGCTGGTACCACGTTGGTACCATCTTGGTGCAAATAAGGTACGAATTTCTGCCAGAATATCACAGCAATAATGGGAGCAGCAGTAGGAAGTACTGTAAGAACAGAATTTACATCGAGGACAGTATCAAGATTGTACCAAGATTCGATATGAAGATCACACCGAGACCATATCCGGACCGTACAACAAGATTGTACAAAACCGGTGTAAACATTGTGCAAAGGAAGTTGAAGCTTCGTACAAATTTGCACCATCGTTGCACTGTTCAACCTGCTGCAAAGATGGTGCAAAGATGATGCAAAGATGGCGCCAAGATGTTACAAAGATGCTGCGAAGAAGATACAAAGATGAGATGGTGATGTGCAAAGATGGTACAAACATGGTGCAAACATGAGTGCACAGATCTGCAAATATTAGACAGTGCAAAGATGGTCCAAAGATGGTGCAAACATGGTGCAAAGATGGTGCAAAGTGCACAGATCTGCAAAGATTAGACAATGCAAAGATGGTGCAAAGATGGTGCAAAGATGGTGCAAAGATGGTGCAAAGATGGTGTGCAAATATGGTGCAAAGATGGAGAAAAGATGATGCAAAGATGGTACACACATGGTGCAAAGATGGTACAAACATGGTGCAAAGAAGGTACAAAGTGAAAAGACTGTACAAAGTACAAAGATGTGCAAAGATGGTACAAACATGGTGCAAAGATGGTACAAAGTGCAAAGACGGTACAAAGTGCAAGGATCTGCAAAGATTGGATGGTCCCAAGATGGTGCAAAGATGGTGCAAAGATGGTGCAAAGATGGTGCAAAGATGGTGCAAAGAAAAGGAAGGCGAAACTTGGATCGTCCAAATAAAGATGATGCAGAGATAGTGCCCTTCATCTCCAATAAGTTTCTATAATGACCCTCTGGCATCCCTCAAAGGACCAAAACACAACTGCAAAATATTTCACCAGTTTTCTTATGTACTGCGATTTCGGTTAACATGAGAACAACAGCGAAAGAAATGGACAGAAATGAAAGAAATGAGTCACCACCATACAAGCTCCTCCATGAGCATCAGTGAGCGCTCACGCGTCCGCGACCTCTCCCGCTCCCATCTGCTCCTTAGCAAACTGCAAGCCGCTTTCACCTGAGACACCAAAAACATTCAACCCTATCAGAGTCATCTCTCTCAGAACCAAAAGGACGGAAAGTTGGAAACCCATGCCAATACCCAAAAGTCCAAATGGCAAATACTGAGTGGAGTGGCCTAAGGAGCTACAAAGATTTTATTTCGGCTGCCGCCCGGGTCACCTTGTTTGCCCGGGATGCCCGGCCGTGCAAGGGCCAAAGCAGGTCCCAGCAACAAAAAAAAGAAATTAAAAAAATCGAAAAAATCTGAAAGAAAACTATGTTACAAAGAAAATAAAAACTGAACAACTTTTGCCTCAGGGTCACATCGAAATTGAAAATTCTTTACCAAATAAAAAGTAAAAATAAAAAATAAAAAATTATATATTGTCACAGAACTATATCATAGTTGCGGCACATGCCAGGCGCGACGTCGCGGCACGTGCGGCGCAGAGCGCACCGTGCAGCCCCCGCGGGCACGGCATGCGGCACACCGGCCAAACGGGGGGTAGTCAAAAAAAAAAGAAACTTCGGGAGGGGGGTCGGAGGCCCGGAGGGGTACCTGTGGAAAATTGTTCGCCTGGCGGGAAAAAATAATTTGGGCCGCGGCGCCGCGCACAGGCCCAGAAACTTTTTTGGGGGGAGGTCTGAGTAGTTCGTTTTTAGAACTACTCAGACCTCCCCCGGGCAGCCTTTGGGCATCCCATCACTGGGTGTATTTGCCCGTTGCCCCATTCTCCTTGTTGGCCGTCTTCTGCTTCCGTTCGTCGTCGTCCGTGCCCGTCCATCCCCAGCAGCACCAGCCATTGCTCGGGCAAGGAAGAGGAGGCACCTCGAGCACGCAGCAGCAGGCAGCAGGAGGTACCTGGAGCAGGCAACGGGAGCGAGGAGCAATCACCGAGCCTCTGCAGGTGGGTTGCCACCAACTCTCTCTCTCTCTCTCTCTCTCTCTCTCTC